CCTGCGCAGTTGGCTAGTCTCAATGAGATTGGCCGCCGTAGCCGAAATCGGCTAGGAGAACATCAATTATCGGGTAGTGTGGAGTAGCTATCTATTAATGGAAGAATTTTTACAAACAAATCAGTAGTCTAGTATGTCTAGATATAATATCAAAGAAATAATTTATGAAACATTTTCGTTATGTTCCTTTCTTTAAATAACTCTACACAGTTTACTCAATGCCGTCTTAGATATAGTAATTATTTTTCTTTCGTAATGAATGCAATTATGCAATATTTCTAACACGCTAAGCACGTAAGTTAGTTTTAAATCACTTCGTTAAAGTTTTATCAAAAATTATTCAATAAGTAAGAATTTCTTATTATTTTCAAAGTCTGACAACGTATTATCTGCCTAAATTTCTTTTTAATTTAAGTGAAGTTATTAAAATATCGTTTAAAATATAAATAAAATGTAGGTACTTTATTTAAAAAAATTGCTGCATTTAGTATGCTGCCATTTAACCTAAAGACATTAAAATTATTATCAGAGCAAGCTTTTACTGTCTCTTAATTATTCCTGCGCATCTCTATATTTTTCATGGTTCATGTTGGCTAACGTTCTCTATTCTATTCACACATACTCGTACATTATCATAATCCAACAAAGTTACAGTCTTGTAAAATAAAAACTTTGGTTAATTACACCAGTCCATACTGATATTATAAATATGAAAGTGTGTTCGTTTTTGTCATTCTTTCACGTCGAAACGGAGTGACGGATTGACGTGATTTTTTGAGTGGAAATAGTTGGAGAGCTGAAGACACCAACTTTTTACAGCGGGAGATTATCTAATTCCCACGGGAAAACACGCTATAATACAATGCAAAAAAAATAATTATGATCAGAATTACTTGAAACTTGGTATTAATGCTGTTCAATAAAATTAAATGAATACATGTTTTAGCATTTTTAAAATTATCTTAATTAAAAGAGGGGATGAAAGTTTTAATGAAACTACCTTTCCGAGATTTTTTTGTAATTTTAGCGCGAGTGAATCCGCAAGTTCTGCTAGTAATACATGAAGTAACCATTTTTGATTTGTAAGTTTAGTTTCCAGTATCTCAACTAATGCACTAGAATACTAGTGCATTCTCAGGTTAGTGACTAGACTGTTCTAGATAGTTCAAAATAGTGAACAAGTTTGAATTTGCTACGATAACTCACTGCTTAGCTGCTATTAGTACTATGTAATATATGTATTTGTAGAGTATTAAGTAGTGATAATTTTTAAATTAGTTTAATTTATTTTTAAATACATTTGTTGCAACTGTAGGCGCCCAGGGCATGTATGATAGGGTTGTAAGGAACAATTAAAAAGGAGCATAAATACTAGAATGAAGCTCATATTATATAATTTTTTTTTTCACTTTGTACCAATTCGTTTACAAAATCATAAATAATATAATCATAATATATCAAGAAACTAATAGACATTTGACGAGGCTTGCGCTACACCTCGCAGCCTGCAAACCTGGGCCATGAACCTCGGTAGGGTAAATACATATTTGTAAGTAATTATTGGAGTACCGATACTTATTTCAATTTTTATAGAATGACAATTTATAACTCAATATAACACTAAAATTTATAACTCAATAGTTTTCATCAAGAGACCATTGACCGAACATTGTAACTTAATCATTGTGAATTTTTAGCGCAATAATGATGGAATTATAGTTTCATCGTTGTCAGAATGATAGATCGTATAGATTTGGTGGGTGGCAGATAATAAGGTAATTTAAAAACAAATGTCAGATTCATTTAAAGCGCTTTGTGAGATCCAGGTAAATAATAGCAAGCTTTTCGCAATTTAGTATATAGCGAGTGTCTTTTTTATTAATTACGGATTCATTTCCTACTAATAATGTAAAGGGGTAAAGTTAATAATTTTATAAGTTTGAATGTAGGTTATATTTAAAATACGACTCCGAAAGTTCTTTTACATTTTTAATGGAAACTGTATATAAGCTTTTTTTATTGCGATAAAAATGTGTTTAGTGTCAAAAATCATAATAAATTTAATTATAGGGCCTATAGGGATTGTAGGGAGTCCCTAATTAAAAACACAAACGCAGCCCGAGCCGTATGCAATATATAGTGTTTTTTTTTTCTCTATTTTTATTTAGGGACTTTTATCCTTTTCGGACATGTCAGTCCCATCATATCTTAACCTAAGTACAGCATCACATATATATTATGGGATGTGTTGAACATCGTCTATCATGTTACAACTACTACATAAGGGTGATTTTACCTTTTTCATAAGGTACGCAAATTTATTTGACGGATAATGTCCAGAACGCAGTCTATGTAAAACAACAATATATTTTCGATTTAGTTTAATGTTAAAAAACCATGGTACTCGAGGAGGCTCACACTGTATAGTTTTGTACCTAATACCCTTTTCTGTGCTTCTTTCGTCGAAATATTCTTTAAATTTTTTACAACAGATAATTTTAAATTTATTAAGTATTTCAGTGTAATATATAGTGTTAAATTATAATACTCTACAACTACTTGATAACTTATTCTTTATTGTTTTATAATGATGCGCTTCTTAATAGATAATCGTCTAACTTCAGTAGGTACAAACTTAAACATATTAAATTCTTAATTATGATAAGGAAATCTCGTCATTCATTTATAATGAGGCAAAGCTTTTTTAATAAATAATCAAGGCAATAGGAAATATGCGTCTGTTTTTTTTTTAATTTTATACAATAGCTAACATCGTTATATAATTGTAAAAAAAATATCCGGCTCAAAAAACTAAAATTTAGTATTAAAAAAAATTATACCGATACGGATACGGCGTGACGTCAAAATATCATACAAGAAAAATGCAAGCTTTAGTTTGTAGTTCGAAAAAGCGAGATTTCCCTGGATGACATTGACAACGTGACGAACATCTAAGAACGCTTAGAATGGGTACGTTCCCTTAATTCATTCATTTTCATACAATAATTGCAAAAAAGGAGAAAGCCCATGGACAGGTTTACTCATTGTGTCAGAGTGTATAAACCAATTGATGTGTTAAAAAAATCTCATTTTTCTGTCACGATATTATGCAAAATATTAGCATTCAGTTTATCCTGAATAAGTTTTTCGACTTATTGATTATTTATATGCTAATAATAATTATCTAATTATTATATGTCATTGCCACAGTTCGTCCTATTTTACGTATTTTGATAGTTGGCAAATTGAATATCTTTCAATGTTCAATTGAACCTAATTAAATTTATAAAACCTATAAAAGAAACATAATACTAATATTTCATACGTTTTGGCTAGAATTGTAAATCACACCGCAAATCAATTATTTTATCATTTAATCGGGTACTAATAATACTTAGAATGATTTTTTTGAGGCCAGGCCGGGGCCCCTGTCGGTCCCGGGGCCAAAGTGCCCAATGGAAAAGAGGGGCCTGCGCATATTCCCTATTATCGTTAAATAGTTTACGTATATTAAATAATGAAGTGGTTTTGTCGTACTCGTATGTAGACTTGTTTGTGTCAAATGTGTGCGCTTTCTAATTGTTTCACTCTGCAAATATTAGGACTAGAATGATAATACCTAAATGTCAAAGTTATTTGTTTTTTATAAAGAAATTATACTAATGTTATAAATTCAAAAGTAACTCTGTGTGTCTGTCTGTCGGTTACGTTTACACGCCTAAGCTGCTGAACAAATTTTGATGAATTTTGGTATAGAGACAGATGGCACCTTGAAGAAAGACATAGGCTACTTTTTGTCACGAGAATAAACTTGAAGATGGTGAAATAGAGGTTGAAATTTTGTATGGGGAACAAACTACTTAGCACACTCCACTCACTCTTTTTATCTATTTAAAACGTACCTGGGAACACACACGTGCGAAGCGAGGATAATTCCCTAGTAATAATATAAGCAGATCTAAAATTGAACTAAAAATGATTAAAGAAAATTCGAAACGCGACGACTCTTTTTGCGGGTAACCATGTGATAAGTAGAACTACACACTAATGATACGCACTTTAATTTTCAATATGCTTCATTGCCGAAAAAATTAAAGGTACCTCTTTAACTAACTTAAACTTAATATACTTTATTCAATGAAACTTTATCAAAATACTCAATTAAACATGAAATATCAGAGTTCTATAGTCAAATTGGATCCATCGGGTAAAACTCTAACAATTCGTGTATCTACACTAGTATTATAAAGAAGAAAGATTTGTATTTTTGTATGTTTGTAACTAATAAACTCAAAGACTACTGGACCGAATTAGATGAGATTTGGTAACAAAATAGTTAGAGACCCTGTGAAGGACATAGAATATTTTTTATTCCGGAAATAATTAAGGGGGTGAAAATAGGGATGATAGTCTGTGTGGGGAATCAATAATAATAATAAAGAAACTAAAAATATTCCTCGACTATAATAGTTAATTTCGTTTTATTTTGGTTTTGACGACACAAATAACTAATCGCTCGTGGAGGAGACAAAGTGTGTGTGCACACTTACCACCTTAGCTCGGTTATCCTATTACATATTTTATATAGAGATAATACCTATGTAGGTACTTAATGATGTGTACTACTCTCGAGTAAACTTAGGTCTTAGACATTTCTCATTCCTATGCCTAGGAAGTAGGAGGACAAGAAAAGAAAGCGTACTACTAGATGGGTAGGTACTAAACGTGAACGAGTATAATAATAGGATACACATCCATACATACATATGTACTACTCATATAATACTGGAAACGTTAAGTTTAAGTGATGTAAAAAGTTAAACGTAAATTATAATTTATAACCATGAAAATCTAAGACAATACTATCTTATCATAACTGAATATTCATATTAACTTAATTACTGAAATTAAAAATCACTTTTAGCTATGGCGAAGCAACCTTATATTTAGTTTAACATAATAATATATAGCATACCTAGCTACAATTAAAATGAACTTACCAAATAATTTAATATGAATTTTCATTATTATTGATTATCGCACTGGCTGTAAACACTGAAACGTCACGCACTATTCAAAGAATACGAGACCGATAGGCCGCGGCGAGTTGCGCGCGCGCTTGTCCTTATGCGACTGCGATTCGCGATGGCAAAAGCCTTAACGCTCGAGCTCGCGCGCCACTCAACCGCACACCGCCAGAGAACATTGCAACTTAAAATAATACTCATAAACGATAACATCATACTTTACTCATGTTCTCACACACCTACTAACTCTATTTTACTGTGCCTTCAGTTTTTATCGAATCAGGTGATGCTATAAAATAAATAATTACACAGCAGACTAAACCTGCCTGAGCAATAAAAAAACAACAAATAGCAATGAATTGCCTTTCTTAGTACTATAGTCTCTATTTTAATATTGCATTAATAGTTTTTCTTTTATTTATCATTGCAAGGTCTATCGCATCGCTCAACTTTAAGGGCGCACCGAGGCAATTACGAATTAATTACGTTCGTTAGATCCGTTGCTGTATTGTTATTACTAAAACTTTAATTATGCAATTAATATGTAGGATATTTAAGGATTTATTCTATAAATCGTACGTACACTTTAGAAACACGATTACTTGTAGTTTCCTCTATAGAACAAAAAACCAAAATGATCTCTAAAAAACAAAATAAACCCTTAGTGCGGCGTAAATAATTCAAGGAAGTTCAACAGTTTTTAATAATAGCAAACTATACGTTTTCTATACAGTATACATTTTCAAAATGTGTATTTGTTTATACGTAATAATACGAAGGAAATACCTAAATTCGCCCGCGTTCCGTCGCCCCTAGCCAGTAGCCACACTCCCCTCTGCCCGCTTTCGTCCTACTAAAATCAATTAGCGCTAAAAGCTCGGTGTCAGGTAAAGTATCCATTTGCCTCCTGCAATCATAACATTGCAATAATTATAAAAGTATATACTTATTCATTAATCATAGTTAGTACCTATAATAGAGTTTTTCATAGATTGTAATCTCTGTAGTGTAATTATAATAATCTACTTAGTAAAGATTTTAAAGTATTTTAATATATGTAATATGTACTTTTGTAAAAATAACTACATTGTTTGTTTATGTTCCCTCTTTGAAATCACACAATGGGTCTTTAGAGACCTAAATACTGAGCTGTAACTTACACTCGCCTTTAAGTACCTATTAACGTCCGTCGTGGAACTCGATTAGGTACCGTTATTATGGCATAGCAATTATTTGAGAATTACATTATTTATCCTATGTAGGTCCATACGTACCTGCGCTTATGTGGTATATGGACGCTTAGATTTTTGTCTTGTAACTTTTTGTAACAATTTAATACTATGGAAAACACTTCCATAATGAATTACTAGGAAAAAAGTAGCGTTAGATGTCACTCTTTGGTCCATATATATGTACAAAACTACAAAAAATATCTAAAAAGGTAGTTTCATACAAACTTTCATCCCCTTTTTTACCTCCTTATAGAATGAATTTCGAAAAATGCTAAAACACGTATTTATTTAATTTTATTGAAGACCTTTAATACCAAATTTCAAGCAATTCTGATCGTAAATATTTTTTGGATTGTATTATAACGTGTTTTCCCGCGGGAATTAGACAATTTCCCGCGGCAAAAAGTAGCCTATATCACTCTCCAGCCCTCCAACAATCTCCACACAAAAAGTCACACCAATCAGTCTCTCCGTTTTGACGTGAAAGAAGGACAGACAAACAAACAAACAAACAAACAAACAAACGCACTTTCACATTTATAATATTAGTATGCAAGTATGCATGTACATCTATCTCTCTGTCAGAATAATCGTCGATTAGTTAAGTACTTAAAGAAGGATCACCCAAATAAAAACTTTTTAACAAAAAATAAAAACCGACTTCAAAAAAAAGCACTAAAAAGTAAAAAATAACTGATTGGTAGTTTTCATTTACTATACATACCTAATCAAATATTTTCGAAGTCGGTGTGCTTTGCTTTGTATGGGCTGGCACCGATTTCGAAAATATTTGATTAGGTATGTATTTAATAGGTAGGCTTTAATTACTTAGCCAAAGCACACCGACTTCGAAAATATTTGATTAGGTATGTATAGTAAATGAAAACTACCAATCAGTTATTTTTTACTTTTTAGTGCTTTTTTTTGAAGTCGGTTTTTATTTTTTTGTTAAAAAGTTTTTATTTTTCCCTTTTTAGTGTAGACAGTAGTAGCAAAGTAAGGATTCTAATGTGTTAGGCTTGTCAAATCAAACAAAATAAGCCCAAACTCAAAGTATCTACTATTAGCCGTTGAAGAGTTCCACCTATCCACCTTCTGGCCTTGCCATCAGATCAGGTCAACAACACCGAACCACTGTACTATAAACGGAAATAGAAATACTTGCAAAGTTTCAAGTCAATATGACAATTATAAGTAGGTTAAATTCATCATTAGTTGTTTTTCCACCCTTAGGGGTGGTATTTTTTTTTGAAATTTAAATGGGACCAATCTGGAAGTATACCCTTTCAAACAAAACAAAAATTGTCCAAATCGGTTAATAAATGACGGAGTTCTGAGGTAACAAACATAAAAAAAAAAAAAAAACATACAGTCGAATTGAGAACCTCCTCCTTTTTGAAGTCGGTTGAAAATACACTCTCGCGTTATTTTCTCATAATATAATAATTTAAGTTTGTAATAACATATTACTATAAAATTTTATAATTTCTAAAATTATAGTAGTTCTTCTTTCTCTAATCCAATGCGACACTTATTCCTGAAGAAATTTGATAATCGTAAAATATTATCCGTAAATTCCATTAAAACTTTACTTATACTAAACACTTTCATAATAATTGACGTATCCATAATTTTAATAAAAACATTATTGATATTTGTCCTATTATCATAAAAGTAAACAGAATAGGTACATTTTGAAATTTATCTTTTACGTATAAATTACTTAACTATATACCTACTTATTATTTAGAATTAAAAAAAACATGCAAATATATTTTAATACAATATCGAGTAATATAACAGTACCTATGTATAACTGTAACTACCTAACGCTGATTTGAAAGAAGTGGAATAAAAAAAATCCCTTCACAGTCGGGCTGATAACTTGATTTTGTTTATCTTATTTTAAGGCCTTGCCTCGTTGAATTTACCTGTCATGGAATTAATGTTAAATATACAATCGCAGATTTTTTAACAAATAAATTAAAAAATAAACTCACAATTCTAAAGGTACATTTTCCTTATATAAAATTTATTTTACAGTCATACTACAAACTTGTACCTAATTATATTATATGGTATTTTGTTCAAATCATATAAAGTTATGTTTTACAACGTAAGTAACTATTTTTTATACCTAGCTTCCTGGCAAATATATCATTATTGTAAGTCAATGTGAAGTGCCATAGGGTCTACTTTTTTCTAAGAGACATTCGTTAATTACTTTATTATCTTAATATCTGTGAATCTAAAACATTATCCAGTTTAGTCATATAAAGAATAGCGAATATGATTTCTTCTAATATAATAGTGTTGAAATAAATGTTATATCATCAAATGCACTATTTTAATATTTTCTGGAAATCTGGAAATATGGCCTCTTGACAGGCTTATCGTAGCGTAACCTGAGCAAATATGTAACGTCCCACGATTTTATTTTTGAGTCTGATCAATGCACTCGATTGATGAGGAGAGTGGTGGTACCAAGGACCTACATAATTATTGTTTAGCTTTTAGTTCATTATCAATATCATTATTATATTTCTTTTCAATAAAATCATTAAACTTACAAAAAAATACCTATTTTAACGACTGAGGTACTAAGTCCTAAAAAAGAAACAGCTCTATTATTAGTGCATTCACCCCTATTATTACTTTTTACCTAAGTGCGGCGAAATCCAAAGAAGGGGTATGTGTTTTACCTGTATGTATATGTATATCCGACCCTATGTTCCCTCGTAATTACTAAACAGCGCACCCGATTTTGATGTATCATACGTCATTAGATTCTTCTTGGTAACGCGAATCATAATTGGGTACACTACATAGATATCATTACAAATCATAATAGCGGATATTAGGCGCCGATTTGTGACTGGAACTGTGAAGTTTTTAATACAAGGAAGATTAAGAATTTATAAATACAGGTTTTTAAGAGGTGATTATAAAAATATATACAACTTAATGTTTAAATATAATATGTATAGGTACTTAGGATAAAAAAAATGTTAAATAAAACTAAAAATGTCTAACTGACCAAAACTAAAAAGCTGCAAATGAAAATTATTTTTAAAATAAAAAAACCGGCTGCGTTAAATGTTGACTCGAGTTATAACTTAGAAGTTATCATAAAATTTAGTTTTAAATTTGTTCAGTACTTTCTGCTTGAAAATAAATAGATATACAGTCAAAAATGTAAATTACTGTTGACTTGGGCCCAAATTTCTGTTCAAAATACGTCATTGTTTTAGAAATATGTATAGATTTTGCTGTTAACCCCCAACGCAAAAATAAGAGTTATAAGTTTAGCGTGTGTATCTATGTATCTATCTGAGGTATCGTAGCACCCAAATGTAGGAACCGATTGGCCTCTACCTACCTCTACTCCATTATTATTTTTTCTCTGTGTCAAATTTCATCTAGATCCATTTAGCCGTTCTGGCGTGATTAAGTAACAGACATCCATTTAAACTGTCACATTTATAATATTAGTATGATGAGAAAAAAATATGTTTTTTTTTCTATGGAGCAAATTTTAAATTATTGAGTACCTACCTACCTAATGGAGACGTTTTCAGAGGTTTTGTTTCTCATTGAAGTAAAGAAATGAAAAGACTAAAATATGTTTAGAACATTTTATTAAACTAATTCATCTATTTACACATAATTAAATTACGATTATAGCTCTATTATAATCACAAACAGAAAGCATAAAATACACTTATAGGCGAAAGAGCAGGTGGGCGTTAAAATGCAAATGTGACTATAAAATGAAATTAAGTACCAGAAATTAATAACATTGAGGTAAATTTCTAAATTATTCTAAATTAACGAATTAGAGATTATATTAGGTATCAAACTCAAAGGAAAAGCTATTTAAATTATCTGAAGACTTTTTGACAAGTCCATCTGGTATGAATAACAATTGTATAATGTTTACAACATACTACGTAATAATTACACAATTTTAAGAAGGTAAACATGAAAAACACGTGAATTTTGAACACACAAAATAAAGCACGTAACTTTAAAAAATAATGGGGCAATATTTTAAACGGTAATCGCACCTACAACAACTTCTTACTTGCAGTTTGTAATACTCACGTAAAGTTATACAGGCATGGATGGACGTGGATGATAAAATCAAAATTATAAGGAATACCGTCAATAAGGTCCAAATTTAGCAAACGCGCGGAAACTGTTTACTTTATGCTTCTTATATGGATGTATAGAATGCGATTTATTTAATTTAATTTAATTTGAATAACAAATATATAAAAAACTAGCGACTTACACTGGCTTCGCTCGGATGCGACCTCCGATGCTAGCTAGGTACGTTTTAATTTTTTTGAGTGGAACACTAATTATTTTTCTAAAATTAAAAAAGTTATCTGCCAGTGAAGTTCCGTCAAAATCAATCCAGCCATTTCGGAGATTAGCCGGAACAAACAGACAGACAAAAAATTTAAAAATTGTGCTTTTCGTATTAGTACCGTAAATAATGTAATATGCATTTAATAAAAAGTTGTTACTTTAACATTACAGCAGACATTTCAATTTTATTTAACTTTATAGATCATGTCATAAGAATAGCGGGGCATGTCAACACACATGATCTATTTACGATCCATTCATACAAATCTGAAATTATGTGCTTTTTGTCCGTCTTTGCGCACGTACGCATTGCCGTCGTAGAAATCTCTAAACTACAACAAAGAATACGTCGCAACTTGCTTAGCTTAAATTTGGAAAACCTTCTTTTGTCTTGTAAAAGGCCCATTTTTATATAAATTAAAGCTAAGGCATTTGGCCTTGAACTGAAAGATAACTTTTTATTTACGAACAAAAATTAGGTAAAAAAATGGCTGTTACGGTTAGAAAACAGATATGCGCCCGTCTTATCTGTAGGTGCGTCTTTTTGCCTGTCGAGATTATAAATGCCGTCCAAGACTTCAATAATAACAGTCATTGCATATTATGTAAATATTTTATTTAACGAAAATTAAAGTTTTCGCTGTTTTAGCGCCGACTAGACGTGCATATTCTTGAATTTCTTCAAATTCTTCGTTTTTCTTACCTACTTTCCGTCTGTATAACTTATATCTCATTACTTCTCCTTTATACAACACTGGTATATAGTTAACATCGCTCTCTGTTGGAAAGTTTTCATCAATACTATCTAAATCCGGGTCTAATCGAGAATTTGGAACGAGTTCCAACTTTGGAATACAGTCCTTGATTGGAAACCACTTGTATGTTTCGGGGCAGAGCAGATCCGATGGAAAATAGTTTCCTTTATACCTCATTTTTTGGCAAGAATGAATGTAAAATCCCATATAATAATATTTAAGGTCCGGACATAAACTGTGCAAATGCCTCGAAAACTCTATCTCTCTGAAACAAACATAATATTAAAAATAATCTACTGAGACATGATAATTAAATTATTACATCTGTATTTTGGTCGAAAAATATATTGTAAGAACCTCACAAATACGTATCCAAAATATTTGCATGAAATTTAGTACACAGGGGGTTTTGTGGGCGATAAATCGATCTAAATTAGCTTTATGTCTGGGAAAACGCGTGTTTTCGAATTTTCATGCGGTTTTCTTTCGCATTATTCCACGAAAGAAAATATGGTCGATAATTACGCACGCTCGGGCATCATGGTCAAGCGGCCAAGGCGCAAGATTAACTAAGATTAACTATTATAGGTGTCCGGGTTCGAATCCCGGTCGGATATAAAGTTTTTCCTTTGGTTTTTTTTTATATATTTATTCAAGTTTGTAGTTTAACAAAAAAAAATAAAGTTGTACTTTAGGCCAAAAACACCGAGCGAAGCTCGGTAGCCCAGGTTTAAGAAACAGGTAGACTGTGGAAAAGAGTAAGAATTAAAATTCTAGACACGCCAGACCTATGTCATCTCAACAAAGCTATAATTCTTATAAAATTCATTTAAGAACGTATGCGTATTTTGTAAATTGAAACTTACGAGACGGCCCCACTTAAGAGTTACATATAGTAAATACTAAACCTTACCAACTGATCTACTTACTTTAAAATAGAATGGCTACTTTTTATACATGATTTACAGAATATTATCTATACTAATAATAATATAAACAGAAAAGACATATTTGCCTGTCTTTCTGTCTATATATAGGAGACTAAAGACTAGCGAGTAGCGACTCACACTCGCTCCGCACGAGGCACTCCCTAATTACGTTTTAACGGTTCGTATAGATTTCTCAGAGATTAGATATTTTCCTGCAGTAAAAAGTATCCTATATGACCCGGATAACCAGCTATCATCATAGCAAATTTCATCAAAATCTGTCCCGTGGTTTTTTCATGATGCATTTCCGGACAGACAAGACAGACATTATAATGACTATTTCATTAAGATTTTCCAAAAAATATTTAATGTACAGATTCGACTCGGGTAGAATTTTATTGTATGTATAGATAGTGACTCACCCCCGCTTCGCTCGGGCTCGTCCCCGATTATAAACATTATTTTCAATATATTTACATAAAAACAAAGTTTACCTCTTTATTATATTAATATATACAATAAACATGTCCACCGGGTCACTAATTAATTGACTTAATTAAAAAACTATTTTGTATAAAAGTTGATAACTGTAAAATTATTATTCTATATTTTTTCTAATAACTATTTTGCCAATATTGACAGTAAATTATTAAATATATTTTCTTACTAACTTATTTTATTGGATATTTAATATTACAAAAAGATTACCTCAGAGCACCATATGTTCCTAAAGTCAGATTTCTATATTCTGGGTCATAGAAGAAGTACACAGATGATACACACTTGGGTAAGATATCCAATACTCCAACCGCTATAATTTTACCTTCAAGCCAATATTGTTGATGAAATGAACCATAACCACATGGAGGACCCATTTCGGAATATTCTTCCTAAAAAGATACATATAATTAAACAAGTGACTGTAAATTATCTGTAATTTTATTAATCATTATTGAAAAATCAACCATGAAATAATAAGTTTGTAGTTTTATTCAAAGTTGGTGCTTGTTTGTATTTTATAAGTTTATCACTAAAAGTTAACAAGTGATAAATTAAAAATTTTAAGAAACCCCAGACCATCTTGGACTGATTTTCATCAAACATAGCTAAGAGCACTCCCGACTAATTCACCTTTCAAACTAAAGAAAACAAAATCAAAATTGATTCATCCGTTCGGGAGCTACGATGCCACAGACAGACAGACACACTTCACTCACAGTCACTTTGCTTATCACAATTTTTCGCATAAAATTGAAAATAAACGAGTTGTTCAATAAACCAAAATTCACCCCCTCATTTCAGGTAGGTATAAATCGAAAAATATCGATCTTAGGAAATTTATGAGAGCCAAAATTATAGAAAATTTAATTTCAAACAACTTTTGTAATAACTATTTTTCGTGTAAAATTGAAATAAACGAGTCATTCAATAAACAAAAATCAACCCTTCAATCCAAGATGGCGGATGACACAAGGGGTCTGGTACCCCGAGAATCTTTTAGACTCCAGTGCCCCTCTTAAAGAATTCCAAAGGAAAATTGCCGTTAAAATTTTTTGTAATGTCTCACGGCATATAAATACTTGTTCACAGTTTTACAAAATGATTTCAATAATTCAAAAATGGCACTAAAGTACCTTACCAGTTACAATATTTGTTGATTTTAATTCTATACATTTTAATTTTTTTAATGAGTATTATATATATATATATATATATATATATATATATATATACATATATATATATAAATAAATAAATCTTCTTCTATATAAATAAAAATGAATGTTGCTAAGCACAATACTTAAGTATGGCTCGACTAATTTAGCTTAAAAAATCGTATTTTCCTTATGGTACACTGAAAGATTTAATAAAGAGAAAAAATATAAAATAAGGTATATATATATATATATATATATATATATATATAAAACAAAGTCGTGTTGGTTATGGTACACCATTTATAACTCAAGAACGGCTGGACCAATTTTTATGATATTTGATTTTTTGGATATCTCTTAGTCCAGAATAGGATAATAAGTATTATTAAAACGGCTAATAATATCTATTTAACCGAGCGAGAGCCGCTAGTAATTATATGTACTAGCAATATTATATATTTAATTTTAGTTGTTATTATTATTAATATTACTACATATAATAATAAAGAAATTATAAAACTTACTAGTAATGGGCTATGGACTAAAAAGTCATGAAACTTGGGCTCAGTGCACTTGTCTGGTCTATCTCCATGAACAGTCATTTGATATTTTACATAGACTTGATGGCTCTCCTTAGATGAAGCCAACCATTCTGGGCTAGGAGGTGCAGTCCTCACTAGTTTTACCTAGAAATATATATTTCATTGTATTTAAAAAAAAAAGTGTAATGAATTTTTGAGACCTCATGTTTAATCATTACCTCAAGTTTTCTTTTGGCTTCAGTGGGCAATTCATTTATAAAATCCTCAATTTTTTTTTCCTTACTTTTATTACTATTCTCTATAGAAGTAATATCAACACCCTTCTTTTTTAATTTTTCTAACATCCTCTCCTTTCTTAATTGTTTTGCTTTTTTGCAAGGTCCTTTAACTGGGTCTGGACCTACAACTAAATAAACCAAAAGCTCAATATTAGGAACATTAAATAACACAACACATGAAATTTTTCATATTTATATACAAACCTTTTTTAGTTTTAGTATTTTTATAATTTTCCTCATCAATTTTCAGTGGTGGTTTTTCTAAAAGAAATAGGTAGATATAAATTAGTATAATTTTAGTTAAAGCTTTAAATCAATTATATCAACAAGTTACCATTTTCTCTTATAGTCCCACTTGTACTAGGTTGATTAACTATTTCCTTGTCCCTTTTAATGTCTGAAAATCATAAACATTAATACTACAATATTTTTTTTTCTAATTTACTTTAAATATTGAAAAAAAATTTTTTTTTAGGTGTAAGAATAAAATAAAACATTCACCATGACATTTTTCATTTCTTGGATCTCCCTCTTCTTCTATAAATGGTATATCCATGTTAATATTATGATGATGTCTAGTGGTTTCTATATATTGTTCTCTAGCCTCTATATCATCAACTGTCATATCTTCACAACTCTTTGACTTTAACTTTTCACCAGAACTCACTTCATCTTGGCCCATCAAAAATTTGTTAACTCGTTTAAACACTTTTTTCTGAGATTTTGATGGTTTGAAATCTAAAGCTCTACATCTGTGTATAAAAAATTCAACTTTCTATACTTTGTTTCTTATCACGTACACCAAAGTGAATCCAAAATTATACAAACCGAATGGTGTACATAGGACAACAGATGACATCAAGAGATGGTTTATAACAATATTTTCCTGAACGCCTCCATCCTCTGTCTATTAAATCTTGATAGTCACTTACTGTCATGGTGTGTGCCCACAATCCTATTTTTACATTATTATTTTATATATATACAAATAAGAAAATAAAATTTTCAACTATAACAAAAATTTTAAAAACTTACCATGACTATAATTCGAATCAGGCTTTTTGCAATAACCACATTTATAACGTTCATTTTCAGCATAATACTCAATTATACTACGTTTCATCATGTTTATTTTTAATTTTATATAAGTTCCAAAAATATTTTAGATAACCCAGAATTATTTCGTACCAATTCATTCATGACAAAGAAACAAATGTCATTGTCATAAACAAGACATTTCACTGACATTCATATTCAAACAGGTAGCCACATACAAAAATCCAAAAGAGGACCCGTCCTAATTAGGAAGAATTTGCCATTTTCTTCCGCCAGGTGTCACGATCATTCCTCAGTATATTAACTTTTCGTGCTCTAGATATCGTGGATGGATTTTTTTTATTTTATTTAAAATTTAATTAAAATGACAAATTGCGCAGTGCTAGGATACAAAGAAAATGGATTTCATTTGTTCCCAAAAGACAAAAACAGAAGAAATTGTAGGCTAAAACAATAGGACGACCAAAGACGTAGAAATCAAAATCTTTGTATTTAAAGCTCTGTACCATTTAATAGAAAGTGATTTTAAAACTTTTAAGTTGTCTACAGGTGACTTATTTTTTGTACTTTTTACTACTATTTTATTTTAACTACTATACTACCATAATCGTTTAAATTGCAAGTTTTATTTTACAATGTCGAAAGTTAAAGGAGGATATGTTTCCATCTGTTTGCCCTTGGTCCAAGGTTTTGCCGCCTTATGCAGCTGCTAGGAAAGAAAGATTACGAAATAGAAATCTGAAAATGGAGCTTTTCCACAAGAATACAAAAATTAATACAAAATATTTGCATTGTTTCAGTTTTCTTTTTAAGGCTAAATATTACTTTCTGTGCTAAGTTGGCATCACTCGTGTTCCATGTCATAAAGCGCGGGGTTCTAGTGGTTAAGAAAAAAGTCCTAATAAATTGTTTTAGTTTTTTTTTTTTCAACCTTATCACCAACATTAGTGAGGAATTGTCAAAGCATTCAAATAATCTCAAATTGAATGATCAGTGATACACTTTTTTGAATTTGTTTTTGTGTATAACTAAATAGTTTTCCATAACACAGCCCTCGTAGCTTACCATGGAACTATTACTAGACAATTTTTTTTAACGTTGGGAAATGCATTTACGCACGAGGTGTGGGACTCACCGGCGAAGCCAGTACTACCCACTAAAACCCAACAAAACCTTCCCCCGTCTTAATGGGGCGTCGCAGGATCGCTTACGCATTCAACTACGACGCCCCGACGGCAGGCCTGCCGAAGCAGACCACAACAACCACGGGGTTGCTCCAAGGTCCACTCTGCTATCAGAGAAGTACCAGGAGCAACCCGCATGGTACACCGCCCACCGAAGTGGGCCACCTCCCACCGCCCACCGAAGTGGGCCACCTCCCTGTGCGTTTCTTGGCCTCGCGCCCGGCTGTATTGCCGGACACTACTGAGCCCCCCCACCACGACAAGGTGAACGCACGTTGGGGGGGAACTATTACTAGACACTAGCGATGTGTCAATTCGGTTTGCCAACTCGGGTTAACCCAAGTTGGCCTCACGTCGAGTTCGACCTATTATAAATCGGGTTAGACACCGACACCCGAAGGACACTCGAACCTCGTGCAAATCGCTCATCTAGGTATCATCTTTGTCTGTACTTAATATAAAACAAAGTCTCCTCTGTCTGGTTCTGCGTTTGCTTCTTCTAAGCCACGAAACAGATTTAGGTACAGTTTTTACTAATAGAATGAGCAATAAACGAGAAAGTTTTATGTAAATAGGTAGATATATTTATATAATCTTACTAATATTATAAATACGAAAGTTTGCAAGGATGTATGGATGTATAGATGTTTGTAACTCTTTCGCGCAATAGCTACTGAATGGAAACTACAATATAGCTCATACATCAGAATATTTCTGTTTTTCTATAGGGGAACCCGAGCGAAGCTAGCGTGAGCAGAGGCAAAATATATACAAACTAGAGAGTTTGTATATATTTTGTACAAGATGACTAAATTTTGACGGTATTTTATAAAAAAAACCTTTACGTATTCTTACATGGCTAACACTGGCTAAATAGATTTATCAAAACAATGTACTAGAAAATTTTAGGTCTTAAAAAGACCTACAGAAAAGTCAAATATAGCATGCGTTTATCTCGTAAGGTACATTCACAATATTATTATTTTTATCTATTTCAAATGTAGCTAAGGTCGCACCCGAGCAAAGCGAGGATAGTCGCTTCAGCTAATTAAATGGAAAAGCTAAATGGATTACTAATTTTAACATTACACGTAAACTTTTAATAATAGGTGTACAAATGAAAAACTAATTAGGTCAGTGATTCTATTGCTACATAGGTACTATGTATGTATGTAAATCCAATTGTTTGGCGTTTATTTGTTTTTGAAGAATACATGTTCTCTTCATACAAATGTATGCAATGTTGTGCAATAAACTAGGTATAATTTTAATCACGGATAGTATTTCACTTTGATGAAAGTCTAAAAGATTTAAACATCTTTTGCCTCTGAGGCAATGAAGTTCCATACCTGCAAATAATAACATGGCTTGTTTTAATTATAGCGTAGGTCCTTATAGTTAATAATATAAAATTATATATATTTCTTACTGTGATAAATATAACTTTTAACTTTTTATATGGTAAAATTAAACATTTATTATTGATATATATATATATATATATATATATATATATATATATATATATATATATATAGTTTCTTAGATTTACGAGAGTATTCGATATTTAAAATAAAACCCGAGACTCTTCCATGAGTGACCATGATTGGTATAAAGCATTCGAAACGTCGGGAAGCTAAAATCTAAATAAATCCGCGAAAAAGTCCAAAAAAATAGTTATAGAAAGATAGTTTTACTTATTATTTACTATTTACTTAGTATTTAGTTAATTAGTCCTCCCGGCCTATTGCGGCCACGGCTGCCAACCTCACTTCCCAACTTCTGGCTGTTACTAAGACTTTCTTAACAGAAATACACAATAACTAAACTAAGGCCCGACCCAAGTCTCAAACCCAGGACACCCTTACGTCCCCCCCAACGTGCGTTCACCTTGTCGTGGTGGGGGGGCTCAGTAGTGCCCGGCAAAAAAAAAAAAAAAAGGACACCCTTACGTACAGCTTGCATGCTAGCCACTACACCACTGAGGCAACCTAAGGTTATACAACATAATAATTTAAATTAATCTTACGACATAGTATCTTCATCGACTTCAACAATATTGGACATTATAGAGTTAGTAGGTTTTATCACTAAACGTTTTCTTTTTGGTCTAAAGAAAGCAATACTTTTAATTAGAATTATCATAAATAAAATCTTAAAATACAATTTAATGATTCCGAATAAAAAAAATCATATAATACATAACTAACAAAATATTATTACCGTTCTCTTATATTATTCCATTCCTGTACATTAATGTCTCCCCAAATGAGAAACATTAGTCCACTTAACAGCAAAATAGTACCATGAAAACTCCATACATATTGCCAAACGTAAGCGGAATTCTAAAATTATAAATTTAGCTAATTTCTCTTTAATTTTATGTTCGTTACAGTTATCAGTTATGTAAAATTAATCATAATCATTACGCATACGGGCAGTGCTGGATTTACACTAGGGGCACTCGGAGCTAGTGGCCTAGTGCCCAGGGCGGCAAATTTTAAGGGGCGACAAAATTCGGAGGTAAAAAAAATCGCATTATCGAAAATGCCTTATGTATTTTTTTTGCATTTTTCAAAAAAAAATAAAAAAAAATTACACTTTATCGAAACTTTACCCACTTTTTGCTAAATTTCGATAATAGAGCGGCTTTTTACGGTGCCCAGGGGCGGTGCTAAGTTTGAATCCGGCACTGCACAGCAAAGCCCAAAAAGTAGGTATATAGAAATAACGAAATAATACATTACCTATGCAACTGTGTCAAATTTTTGATGTAAATACTGTTATTTGTCATCCATGATAAATACATAATTTGTGTTACATACTCGTATTCTGTTTGACATTCTGTATTATATCTAATGATTACCTTAAATCTGTAAGTTGCTTGTCCAACACACAGTGATATAATTATTCCTGGTAAGTTTCCAATTATTTTAATTACTGTGTTTATAGCGTTAACATAATTAGGCGATAATTCCTAAAAAAAACTTTTTAAGCTATATGTATATCTTTGATATGTCTACCTGCTTCGCTGAGGCTTTATAGTTTTGAAAATGAAATAGGTATTCTAAAAAAGTGCTACAGGATTTGTAACTATTGGATGTAAAAGTTCTCATAATTTCCTATTTATTAAGATTAAACAGAACGTTATAGATTTGTGAATCTGTAATTTAAACAGGCATTCCTCATCATCCTTTAACAATGTTAAAGAGAATCTATCGTATAAATGTGTGTATGATTTAATAACATTCCCAAATCATAACGATTGAAACTTATTTATGTAAAAACGTAGTGTATTAACAAAAACTTTTAGATTAATCGATTCAGTGAATTAAACCAATAGGTACTTATTTATTGAATGCTATTTCTACAATGATATATGTGTATATATACATGCATATACGTATGTAATCTGTCTTACGTAACAAATATCTAAAGTGAGATCCATTCCGGCTGCGGTAAGGGCAATAGCTGCGGTCAGCAGAACGGGGCCACGGCTGAAAGGAATAAACCATCCACTCGAAACCAAAATTCCCGGTATCACATGAGCTGCATGAAATTATTTTAAACAAAAATATGTGCATTTAAACGCTTATATAGACAAGTGACGATTTATAGTAAAAAGATAATATAGTACTTTGTGAATATAGGTTATTCATATTGTTTACACAGATACATAATTTACTTTATTATTAAATGAACCATGTTAAATTAACTGTTTTATATTGCACAGAAAGTCACGGATTTAATTTCCGCACGGAATGAATGTTTGTTACCTCCATACAACACGTATCGCCGATAACAATTTATATCTACCGACATTATTATAGAAAGCAAAATTCAAAGAATCGAGTAAAATATGTGTACTGAAAATAGAGTAAAATACTTATTAGGCACAAGTTTAGAAATATAATCCCCATTTTCACCCCCCTTAAGGGTTGATTTACAGGATAAAAAGTATCCTATGTCCTTCCTAGGGTATCAACCTATCTTCTAATTAAATTTCATCTAAATCGGTTCAGTAGATCCCGAGATTACCCCCTACAACGTCACAAACTCACAAACTTTATCTCTTTATAATATTAGTATAGATATGTATCTTAGGAAGGTACATTTCGACTACTAACAGACTATTATAAAACATTTTCGTATATACTTTATCCTCTTTATCTTTTTATTATGTTTATACCAATGATACGTCTGTATTATTATTGTTCCAAATACTAATCTCAGAAAAAATGGTAGAGCGACAAGTGCTGAAGCCTGCAAACATAAATTAAATAATTCTTTTAAATGATTACCAAGATCCTAAAGTAAACAAAATGAAAAATTTAAACACTATTCGATCAGTGTTAGACCGCCCCCGTCTGCTTGAAAGTTTTCCAATAATTTTATATTCTATTGGAAACTCTTAAGAATCCATATTAATGAAGGTAGCAGCTACTCACAATTTTATGGCCGTGTACCATGATTTTTTTTTATTTTATAAAGAACGAAAAGACGGATTTGAAGATTTTAAACATTTTCAAGTACATTGTTAAACTTATCAATTGTATATAAAATGTACTTACTTCATAAACACTATAATTGAGTATTATCGTATAAAAAAGAGGTCCATGTATGCAAACAGCAATTATCATCCAAGCGTATCCAAAATTTAAAACGCAAATTGCCCAAAATGGTACAGATTTTAAAATAACTTTCCATGGAGCTTGAGAATTTGTCAACTAAAAAATTAACTATCAAGTTCAATTTTCCATTTATTTGTATAAAATTAATATTTACATTAATATTAAATCTCTTTTTAAACAAAAATATGCACCTTAATGTTGAAAACTGTTCCGATAGATGTAGTCAAATATGCCAATTCTTCTTTGGATATGAAAGTATTGCTCGACGGGCTATCTGTAATTACAAAAACCCAAGTACCTGCCCAAAATATTTGCACGGCACCACAAATATAAAATCCAACTGACCACCCAAAATAATATTGAACGAATGCGCAGATGAGGAAAGTAGAACAAGTTCCTGTAGTATTACCTAATGACAAATACTTTAAATATATAGGTATGTTACTAATTAATAAATATACTTTATGGTTTCCCGGGGAAAATGTAGAATTGGCGTAATATGAAAAGTTTACCACAATAAGCCCACATAAAATGATGTCTTTCAGTAGGTGGCACCCAATTTCTTAGCACTTGAACCATACTTGGTAGCATAGCCCCCTAAAATAATTATATTGGTAAAGAAAACGAAATATTTTGTATGTGAAAATATACTTTAAATTGCTCCTAAGTTTTTTAAATAAATACAAACCGCACAAAATCCTATTAAAATGCGGACGATAAAAATCAACCAGAAGTTGAAATACACAGAGGCCGGTGTAAGGCAATTTAATACACCTGAAACAAGGCCAGCTGTACCAACAACCCGCACTGGTCCAAAACTGAAAACGTTACGTTCTTTCAATAATAATAAAAGGAATAAATTTTAATAAATATGAATTTTAATACACGTGATTATAATATGATAGATAGTTTTTTTTAAATACTTATTAAAAGTATTTGAGTGAAATACGGACAAATGAACTCACGCGTCTCCAATACTATGAAATATTGGAAAACATACACAATATCCAATGTGGTAAGCAGCTAACAACAAAGCTACTCTCAATTCATTCCAATAAATTATGTCTAAAATGCTCTGAAACATTGATTATTATCACTTTATATATTCTTATATCTATTATTTCTAAAGTATTATACAAAAGACAAACCCCTGTTCGCGAGATCAACATTGATCGTAAAGAATTTGTATCGTTATAATATATGCCAAATATCTGTTTTGGCATTTGTACCATGTCCACGATATGAACACTAAGATTATATCGAACCACGTAGACCAAGAAATATCCAAGAAATATCATCATTCCCACCTATAAATACGGATAGCAAATAGACTGAAAAACTTATATATTCAAACCTCTTAATATTTAATAGGATCGCAACTTACAATAGCTCTAATACGAATTTTGAACATTACCAAAACACGAATATAGAATCACATCAATTACAATAAATCAATAATAATATCATAACCATCCAGATGTTTTATGTTTTAATAATAAACAACTCAAATTCACACTTTAAAATACTATATTTCATTATTTAAGTACAATTTGTCAAGTTAAAATAAAATATACTTACATCACACACAATTCATTAAATCTTTATTTCTATGGAAGATGTCATGATTTCTGGAATGTTCGTCTAATGGCGTATCATAAAACTACTTATTGATTTAACATAATAAATATTGATAAAAATATAAACTGAAACGAATAAGAACATAATAATATAATATTTTTGGTAATGAAGATCACAGTTGCAGTTTTTATAAAATCAATATTTATTAGGCACTTTCAAATACTACTGTAGGCATTTTTAAATAACACAAGACTAAGTCTCACCTACACTTCTAGTACTTATAATTTTCTTACTTATTTTGTATAGAAAAAGTATTCAGTTCTGTATCTGACATTATAAATTATATAAATATATATTCGAGTGACATAGTCAGATATTTTTTCCTCTATACAAAGTTAATATCCTATGAGAAACAAAATCTATAAAACAAGGCTACTGAAATGCACAATTAGGCTCTAGTAGTTATACTAGTAGGATTCTCTTTCATATCCTTAGTGTAACCATTTTTGGAAGCATCGTTCATGTCATTCAGATCATCGGACTTGGCTCTTTCTTCTTTTCCTTCATTCTTTTTCATTTCCACATAATTCCAGTGTTGTGTGTTTCCCGAACCAAATAGAATGAAAAATACAGCAGAAACAATATAAACAGATGCACCTATAAAGAAAACTGGTCGCCATTGCTCAAAGCTATCCTGAAAACAGAATATTAACGTTTAATATATCGTATTGAATTTTAAACTACATATATACCTACTAAAAATTTACAATAAACAACAAAATTTTAATTATAATTTCTATTCTAAAAGAATAGTAACTTCTTTCTATATATTTAAGAGTAAAATAATAACTAATTACCCCGGTTTTTGTAAAGTATGCAGTTATCATGGGAGTGAAAAAGCCAGCTGTGCTGCCTATGAAGTTGGCTATTCCATACAAAGTTCCAGCATAATTAGGAGCAAGGTCTTGATGGTTTTGGAGATTCGTTAAAGTAGCTGCACCATTAAAACCCATAGACATCGTAATCATCGTCACTGACAAGGCAGTAGAACATCCGGTGTATATCAACAAAACAAGAAGAATACCAGGAATTATGTGTGAGAATAAACAGAAGAATTTCCTTATAACTGTTGTTGTCATAAGTTTTCTCGATAATATGCAATCCCCGATAGCTCCAAATATTGTAGCCAAGAATAATCTCGCAAGATAAGGCAGGGCAGATATGATTCCAGCTGCGGATAATTCAAATCCAAGAACACTTGATACGAATTTCGGTCCAACAGTCATTATGAAATATAAGCCCCACAGGTTTCCGAAATGTAAGACAACCATGGCCAGGAATGGGAACGAGGTACAAATACTTTTGAACGGTGGTAGCCCCTGGAAAGTAAATAATAAACGTTTTAATATCATACTAGTGACAGTAACAAAATTGAAGCGTGTTCCTACAATCGAGAAGAAGTTCAAGCCCTTTGTTAACATCGATGAAACAAAGAAATGTAATAAACAAACTTAATATCGTTTTAAATTAAATATTATATAACTACCACCACACCATCTTCGAGGACTTTTAAAACATTCATCATTTAACAGTGACCACAAAGTAACTTTATGATTATTGTCCGCACATATGAAATTATTTTCTGACCAATGAGGCGCACGAAACATATTACGTTACATTTTAACATGTCAATTGGTTTTACTTCTTTGCTTATGTACCTAACCGATTCAATAACACCTCCGTAAAACTAATATTTACAAATTAGCTTACATGCTGACATTTACCTTCGATTTCTTGATCTTGTCACCTAGTGCGTCTATAATATATTTCTTTTCTGTTACAGTAATTCTTGGATGGTCAGTAGGTGTATCAGCTACAAGATACCACCAAAACCCACACCAAATAAATGTCAAAGCAGCCGGTACGTAGAAAGCTGATGCCCATCCATATCTCTCCAACAATGGTCCAGTCAGGGACCACGTGACTACTGTTCCTAGAGTTCCTCCCATCAAGGCGCTAATAAATTTCCCCTTTTCTTCTGGAGGAGCCCAACGGGCCACCAAAACGTGAAGAGCGGGATATATGAAACCCTGAAATTTGGTAGGTTGGTATATAGATAATGATTAAAGGTTTTGCTTTAAATTCAATAAATAAAAATGAATTATTTTTTAATTAAAATGTAACTTTAATCTTGTCTCATATTTGTAAGCAAATGCTACCGACAAAATTTTTATGTGTTTCGACAACATTATCATTAACCTTTAAATACAATAACTACAAATAAACAAAATAAATATTATACGATAAAACTTACCTGTAAATTGTCGGAAATAAAAAAAAAGAGTTATAAAAGCAAAGGAAATAAAATTATCTCAATATTTTTGCATACCCCAGCAAATCCAAGGAAAAATCGTACAATAACCAATGCAACATAATCGAGCCTTGCAGCAAGTGGACTCAGTGCAGTCAATATCGCACTTGCAAGCGAAGTAATTAAAACTACGTATCTTGGACCCCATCTCTCTGCTGCCATCCCACCCACCAGGGACGTAATAGGATAACACCAAAAATACGATCCCAGAATCATAGCCTGCTGATTTGCGGACCAATTGAAAGTTCCACCCAAAACCTATAAAAAATATTTTCATATTTTATTCCTAAAATCAGTAAGTATAAGTTTTGTATTTTGTATGAACAATATGTGCTCGGCCTAGTTTTTGTAATTAGAATGCAAAGTCTAAGTCAGAGAGTAGTATGTTCCTTGGTCTAAGTTCAGTAATGTTTATAAAAACAAAGAGACTGAAAATACTTAACGACTCTACATATTATATATTTAGCATGATAAATATGTCTTTTAGTTAATAGCAGACTGTTAAATAATACTATTTATAAGCACATTGTTATATAATAATTTCAAATACCATTCTTCATAACATAGAGACATAACTTAGCAATATTTTATTCATTCCATAAAATTTTTGAATTATGTCGTATTATATTTTCATATTTATGTCGTATTACATAATATTTTGATGACACGTTTGGCTCAGTCTATAGTGACCCTACTTGCTGTGCCCCGGTTGCGGGTTCGACACCCGCTGGAGGCATCATTTGTGTGATGAGCATGAATGTTTGTACGCCAGTCATGGGTGTTTAAGTTTATATTTATATTATGTGTGTATTTAAAGTTATATTTGTGTACTATGGTATCCATAACAAAAGCCTCGTAGCTTACCATGGAACTAGAAGGGCCTATGAATTAATGTCCCAACATATTTATATCGATACGACTTTAAAGAATATTCTATGTTATAGCGCGTTCACGTGAGTCTATGCTATCCATATATCAATATATGAAACATTAATAATCAAATTTAAAATTTATCGAATACCTACGTTGTAACAGTTAGTATGGAATAGATAGACTATAATATATATTATTTATATATATTTTTCCAACTTATACTTGACGCATTGTTGTAGAAGTCTGGTCCGCCATGACGCTAGGTCATCTATTAAAAGTATCCAAAGTAGTGATTCTCACACAAAATAAACAGAATTCTGAACTATTCGATATTCCAAGTCCTTATGGGTTTTCAATATATATTTTTTAAACTTACCCCCCCCTGACACACCCCAACAAAAAAAATATATTTAAATCGGTCCAGCCACTTTTGAGTTTTCGACGAACGGCAAGTGATTTTCATATAATATATATTATATAGGTAGATAAAATTGTTTTATATTTAAAATTAATTAGAGGGTTCGAACATTTCTCTATGGTAACTGGTATTATCCACCTCCGGACATTTTAGTAATTTTTTTTCATAGTAGCGGCGTACCTATAAAGTTATGAGATTATAGGATTTAAAACCAGACCAAAGACCAGAAGCAAAAAATATCAATCATATTGCTAAGATGTTATGTTTATGTAAGTATCCTCTACAGTCTATACACAAATACTACATAGTTAGTTTCAACGTGCGCTGTAGCTTTAAAAAAATGGCGTCGATCGCCAATGCCACAAAGATTCTAACTATATATTATAATATTTATGTACAAGAAAAAAGATAAACTTACTTCTCGAGGAGCTTCTCTCACATCAGCGATGTCAATGTGCCGAAAAGATTCATTCAGCATATCGTTCTTGGCCCCGCACTGAGATCTGGACCTGTGATATGTTAAATTAACCTCAAACATTTATTTTTAGAAGATAACTAGCATTGCCCGCGGCTCCATAAGGGAAAGTTCTGTCGTTTTTGAACACGTGCACTTTTATGCGTTACCGATCTTTACCAAGAATTCTGATCCGACTGAAACCGGTTTAAATAGTTAGATTAGTATATAATTGATGATTTATACACATTTTTTCGAATTTAAGTCAGTTTTTTTAAATTTTTAAAACTGTCAATATGAGTGAAGAAAAATTGCATTTATGACGTTGTATGTTATATGAGTTCCTAAAAGGGAATAATGCGATGAAGGCAAAAAAACCTGGTGTGACGTGTTTGGAGAGGACGCAGTAATAGCTCGAATATGCCAAAAGTGGTTTGGGAAATTTCGTTCAGGTGATTTTTCTTTGAAAGATCAACCCAGTTCAGGAAGGCCATCAGATGTCAATGACGAAGTGCTACGCAGTATGATCAAAACAGATCCCACGTTGACTTCCACAAAAGTAGGCTTCAAGCTTGGAATTCACCAGACTACTGCTTTAGATTACATTGAAACGCTTGGTTTCGTGTCTAAGCTCTCTGTTTGGGTGCCACACGAATTAAGCGAAAAAATTTAATGGACAGAATTTCGATATGTTCTTCAAATCTTGCTTGTCACAAAAGGGGGGCGTTTTTGGACTACTTGGTGACTGGAGATGAAAACTGGATAGTTTATAAATACGTGGTTAGAAAAAGAGTATATGTTTATAAAGGGGAGACACCACCGTTCACATCCAAAGCTGGCGTGCATCCGAAGAAGGTTATGTTGTGTTGTTGGTGGGACCGCAAGGGTATAGTGCAATATGACTTGCTGAAAGCGAATGAAACGGTCGATGCTGATCGTTACTGTCCGCAACTTGATGTTTTACATAAAGAAATTCAACGTAAACGTTCATGTTTGGCCAACAGAAAGGGGGTGATTCATCACCACGACAACGCTAGACCACGCATGGCAAGAAAAAACATACAAAAAATTGCAGAGTTGGGTTGGGAAACTTTACCTCAGCCAGCATATTCTCCAGATATTGGACCATCTGACTATCATCTGTTTAAGTCGCTGTAATACTTTATTGACGGAAAAATATATATAAATTATGATGGTGTCCAACTAGCAGTGAAATAATACTTCGTCTCCAAAAAAAGGAATTCTTTTTCAGTGGGTTCGATAAGCTACCAGATCGCTGGCAAACATTTGTAACTAATAAAGGACATCATATTTTGGATGATTTTTTAATAAAAAGTGAAAAAAAAATTGTTCTTTCTTTTAGGAAAAAAACGACAGAACTTTCCCTTAGACCTAATAGTATACTATTACATGAGTTACATTACAGTTTAGTATTTTTTCTCAGAAATGAGATATTTTCCCGCAGTAAAAAGTTTCCTATATGTTGACACGGATAACCAGCTATCACCATACCAAATTTCATCAAAATCTCTCCAGTGATTTTTTTGTGATGCGGTAACAGACAAACAGACAGACAGAAAGACAGACAGGCAGACAAAAATTCTAAAGATTATAGATTCGGCTTCTGTATCGATAATAATGTTTATTTCAATAAGATTTTCCAAAAAATATCTAATGTACAGATTCGGCTTAGTCACAATTTTGTTATATGTATAGATTACGGTAAATTATCCTGTCATAAACGACATGTGTATTATACACACAATACACATGCGATTTATAATTGCATATTAGATATATAGTATATGGGCTGAGACGAAAACCCCTACAGTCTTTGGTTGATAGTGATTAATGCTGATAGGAATTATTGGTATAGTAAATGATAGTCCAAAATTAACTTAATTGTATAATAACCGTACTTTTTATGATAGAATGATAAAATGATATTATTGATAGAACGACCCGTGAGCGCGCACGACGGCGATCGCGACAACTGCTGCGACACATTAATTGAAATACATATAGCCTCTATCCACGTAGTATGGCGTAATGTGTTTATGCGACAAATAATATATACTGGCCCGTACATGCTCCCGGGCCGAAAGATAGGAACGTTGATGAGGTGCACTTAATCTAAGACAAGATGATGGGCATTTTCACTTAATCTTATATGATATGATAATATAGTACCTAATGAGGAATAAAACCTGTCAATAAAATTGTAAAAAGTAAATTTCGCAAATTTAACAAAATAAAAAATACTGTTTCAGTCATTTTAATTGTGTACCTATCCCTTACAGATTATTTGGAATTCTGTGGAGAAATAAGGATATGTCGAAAATTAAGTTTTATCAGTGTATTCCTATAATGATGTGGATAAATACTATATATCAAAGGAAGCAAGTAAAGACAGGATTTTTAGCCATTTTAGAAAATTTTCTTAGGGGTCATTCATCATAGACGGTTACAGTAGGTAATAGTAGGAAGTAGTACCTATTTGTTCTAATCCAACTGAAAGTTTTATTACTTAAAAGGTGTTTCTCAACACAAGGATTAAAACATATCTCTCTCAACTTGAAGCATCTCGAGCTTTTCCGGAATAAAAACACCCCGGCATGAAAGGTCAATTAAATAATAAACACATCCTCGATAACTTTCAATCTATACAACTATGCAGATGTGTATAGAATAGACTTAAGAATAAGTATATCATTTTATTAAACCATTATTTCAATTACACTCGTTAAAATTCTCAATCTTCACTGTTTGCATTTTACTGAACTAGACTAACTTGTTTTACAATTAGATATTACTCTCTATATATAGTAAAAGTTTAATGACCCGGTTCTTCTTAGAATGCATATTTATTATAACTATAAAAACTCTAGCTGTTTAGAGAAAAGTCGAGATCAATTTAAAATATATGTAGAAATGAATAATAAAATTGTTTCTATACATATATTTTTGACTAGCGACTTACCCTCGCTCCGCTCGGGTTCGTCCCTAGCCCTAGTCCCTACCCTTCCCTTTACAATAATGTATGGAAGTCGGCCCGATTTGTTGAAATTTAAGATTAGATACTCTCCGCTCCCTTGGGTAGTAACAGGATGATATATATTTTATAGCCTTCCTCAATAAACGGGCTATCTAATACGAACCGAATTTTTCAAATGGAATTACTAGTTCCTGAGCGAAGACTAGGGTCACGGATGATTCCCTATGCGAATGTGGCCTTGATGAAGGTACCTCCTCTCATATCCCTTTTAGCTGACCCATTTAAGATGATTTTTTTCCTTAAAGTCCCTCGTCCCATTGATGTTAATAATTGTTTATTAAAGTTTGTGTTTAGTCCTCTATATAAATATATTAATTGTAATAGAATTAGACTATAGACTAACATTTTCATAAAATTTGATTAGGTATGTATAGTAAATGAAAACTACCAATCAGTTATTATTTACTTTTTAGTGCTTTTGTTTTAAGTCGGTTTTTATTTTTTTGTTAAAAAGTTTTTTACACTTTATGATTAAAAAATTTAATTAACTTATTTTACCGACCAATCTCCTTCGTGTCTTCTCCATTCTACGTGACATTCGCGAAGTGGCCTATGCTTAACTGGCACGCTCTGAAGCCAATTAACACGAGAATTGAATCGTCATAAGATGGCACTCTAGTGCTTTAAAATCGAAATCGTTTGTCATGAAAATTGGTATTTTTGACAAACCTTGCGATGCCGAGATTTACGATCAAAGACCACCTACTATTTACATGGATTATTTTCAGAGTTTCCCAATTATAACACATTTTTATACTACTTTAACGATATTACATTCATAAAGTAAAAATAGTATTGTAGTACCTATTGTAAAACAATGTACATTATTGTTTCTAAATTATTATCGTTCATAATGATGTCTACCACAACGGTAATAGTTTATAGAATGCACGTGTCGCAACATTTTTCCTACAATATGTATTTTTCGCATACTAATTTATGCAGGTTAAACATTTTTACCTAATAGCCCACGATAGCTTCATAAGTGTATATGAATAGTTTACCCACATATCTACTTTATCTCTAGCTTAGGTAACTCTGATACTTCTATTCAAAACTCTCTGTTTACATAATATTATGCCTATTACAAAACGAGAAATATATTTTATAAGTATGCAAGGCATAAAAAATACCCATAAAAATAGCACCATTATAAATGAGAAAGTTTATTATGGTGGGAGTGTGTTTGCGTGGATTTGTTACTCCTTCATGCTAAAGTGGCTAAATCGTTTTAAATAAAATTAAAATAGCTCATATCCTAGACCAATATTTATGTTACGTTCATCGATATATAACTGTACATACTCGTACCACGCAAGCTGGGGTGCGAGCAAAAACTCAAAAACTCAATTATCGAAAATTTGCTTCAATATTGCTTAATTATTCAATTTTAAAGTAAGCTTTGGGCTTAACTGCGACTTACGAAATATTTTTAGCTGGCTGTGGCACCATAGCGATCAGGTTCAAGCTCATGTTCACACGAAGCATGTAGATTACCCAGCAACTTGTAAAAATCATTATCCACAGGTTGAGTCGCACCGGGATAACGTCTGTAACAAATATATCTTTTGATATCTCATATACAATTTTGCCTCAGCCAAATCAAATAAGTTAAATCGGACAGAATACTAAGAGAAATGCGAAAATTTCTTTGTTTTTATAATGTGTCTCAACATCCATCCATATTATATTTGTTAATTCTTCGCACTGAACCAGCCGCAGCAGATGGATTGAAATGTAATTTAGTAAGCATATACAAGTAGAATATGAGGTGGAGTAACACATAGGCTACTGTTAGGCACTTAGTGACGCACCTGAGCAAAACGAGGGAAGTCTTTTTTTTATTCAAAAAGGGGCTTACTCATAATCTTCATCTTAGCTCGGAGGCATAGATAAGGTCTATGAGCTAACGAGTTTGCCCAGGAGAAGCCTGTTAACACGCACCTTAACTAGTTTCAGGTTGTAAGCTCTCGGAAAAAAAAATGGTTTTAGTCGCTTAAAAGTGTTTAATACAAGTACTTTTTTATTTTAATAAGTACTAGCATTGCCCGCGGCTCCACCCGCGTTCAGATGACCAAAAACCAAATTCTCAAGTTTTACATATTAGTATACTCTTACATTGCAGTTTTTGTATTTTTGCTCAGAAATGAGCATGAAATGAAGTGACCCGGATAATCAGCTATCACCATACCAAATTTTATCAAAATCCCTCCAGTGGTTTTCTGTGATGCGGTAACAGACAGACAGACAAAAATTCTAAAAACTATAGATTCGGCCTCTGTGTCGATAATAATGTTTATTTCAATTAGATTTGGTTAGCTGGGTCAACATATAGGATAAAAAACCGCGGAAAAATATCTCATTTCTGAGAAAAAATACAAAAACTGCATTGTAAGAGTATACTAATATGTAAAACCTAAGAATTTGGTTTTTGGTCATCTGAACGCGGGCGGAGCCGCGGGTAATGCTAGTCATATATAAATTCATAAATGCAATTTAAGTTTCGACACCGTATGGGTCAAAATGTGATTTTAGTAAGCACTCTGCTTACTAAAATCATCGTTTTAAATCATATCACAATCATATTCATCGGCTATGAAAGTATGTTTGGTTAAGTTCATTGACACTAATCTAGTTTAGTGGGGGATTTCTTTTAGGATGTACGTAGATTTTTTATTAGTACCTTGATTTCATATCAAGGTTAAAGACAACATTCGATTTATTATCATGCACTTTGTATCGCATAAACTAAACGCAGAAATCATATACATATGTACCAGGTAAGTACCTACTAAGTGTCTATTATAATAATGATTTATGAAGGAAAATGAAATTGTCATCACTATTAGACTTACATAGTACATTCATATTCCCTCCAAGACCGCGGACACGCCGGCGTTACGGTTAACAATAGATTTCTTAGAAATTTAATTAATTTCTTAGAAATTTACCTGGAGGTGATATGCTATGTACCTTTCATAATTTTCTTCAATTAAAGGACATCCTGGATGAGAATTGAAAACTTTAAAAAATTTTGTGACAAATTTTTATCCGCTACAATAAATGTCAATTTAAAAATCTGTTTTTTGCATTACACCTCAATCTTCTTATTTGATCGACTTCAAAAAAAAGGTAATCAATTCAATTGCTCGTTTTTTTTTGTGGAAATACTATGTGATATCTTCAGAAATAATTGTAAGCTGATTTGCGTAATTCTATAGTTTTTGAAGTTATACTTCTTTTGGCACGTTTGGAAAAAATTATGAAGAGTAAAATTTTTACGATGCGCGCGCACACCGACAGCCAAAAAGTGACATGATGAAGTTAGCTGCATTCCTTTTAAAAACAGAAAGTTGTGACATATACGGGTGAATTCTTTAGTTATTTTTGTTCGGTTACGCCAAAGACGTATAACTTCTTACGTGCGTACATAAATACACACACACGTTTTTTTATGAATAGGTTAGGTTAGTAAAAAAATCCTCTCCTACTGGTAATTACTATTAAAGTTGATTTTCTTTATATACGTATATATCTAATAAGCAAACATATTTTAAACTAGCGACTAGGTCTAGGTGCGTCGTCAAGGTATACGTTTTAAAGACAAGCAAGTTATTATGAATGTACCTTAAGATATACAGGGTGGAACAAATCGATGGGACGTGGAAGAAAAGTACCTTTAATATTGAAGTTATCAAGATTTACTCAAAGGAAACATTTCTTTATTTTCAAAAATAATAACAACTGCATTTATTTAAAAAAAAAGGCTTACCTGAACCGGGAATCGAGATAAAAATGCAAAAATGGACACCGTCACTATTTTATCGAATTAATCGATCGATAGGGTCTATCTATACTATAATAAAAGGTAGAGGTCGAATGTCTGTACATAGCAAAAAAAAATGCTAAAAACCGAGTCAGGGGGATGTAAGAAGATAAATAGAACAAATCCAGATTTTTTTTAATTTTTTTGTTTTTCTGTCTGTTTGTCTGTTTGTACGGGCTAATCTCCGAACCTATTGGAGCGATTTAAATGAAATTTTGCATGGTGGTACCTTATATCTCCGGGCAACATCTTAGATACTTTTTATCCCGGAAAAATAAATAGTTCCCGTGGGATAGTTAAAAAACTATAATAACTTATACAGCTTAGTACACAAAAAGTACTGATTGGATTTTAATAAAACTTTACAATAATATAGTTCATACATGACAATAAAAAATCGGTTAATTGTCCTCCCGGAAAATTAAAGGGTTCCCGTGTAACATAAAAAAACTATAGTAACTTATACATCTTAGTACACAAAAACTACAGATTGGATTTTGATGAAACTTTACAATAATATAGTTCATACATCAGAGTAACAAATCGGTTACTTTTTATCCCGGAAAAATGCACAGTTCCTGTGGGATAGATGTTTTCGTTTATTTGTAACGTATTATACACACAACATAGACCCCAAAACAATAGTTATTAAAAAAAATGTCTGTTTGTCTGTTTGCCTGTATGTCTATTTGTCTGTTTTTGTATGCGTGTTTCACGCGAAAAGTTTTGAACCGATTTCAATGAAATTTGGTGAAGTGATAACTTATTACTCGAGTCAACGTTTAGGATATCTTTTATAGTAGGGGAGCCCAAGAGGGGATTTTCTATAGTTACTCGAGCGCGGCAGATTAACATAAAAGAGGTTACCTTGCACTCTATTGAGTACTTTCACCATAATATAAGTCTTCTATATAAAGGGGAGCGTCTAGGGAAGCCGATTAAAATATTTAAAAAATGTTTTGATAAGGTAGAAATACTTGAAACCGTCAGATTAAGGTGTGGTAGGCTAGTCACATCCTGAAAAGTGTCCAATTCAATAATCTGCCGATTTGCACAAGCCGAAGAGGCAAAAATCGACTATAAAGTTTATGATGATTTACTGAATCTAATGAGACCAAAAATGTAGGTAATTGAGTCTAAGACTTGCAACTCTCTCTATCGCACCATTCGGGTCGGGGGCAGGGGCATATTGTAGACTGTAGTGATGTTGAAGGTGCTATCGATATTATTATCTCCTAGGGAGGAGAAGGTAATATCGATATATCGATCGATACTGAAAGGATTCAATCCAAAGTTTAGAATTTTATTATACTCGTATGTATAGTTTGTAACTAAGCCGTATCTGTACATTAAATATTTTTTGGAAAATATTATTTAAATAAACATTATTATCGATACAGAGGCCGAATCTATAGTTTTTTGAATTTTTGTCTGTCTGTCTGTATGTCTGTCTGTCTGTTACCACTTTATTTGGGGGGATTTTGATGAAATTTGGTATGGTGATAGCTGGTTATACAAGTCAACATACAGGATACTTTTTACCGCGGGAAATATCTCATTTTGGAGAATAAATACAAAAACTGCAGTATAAAAGTATACTAATATGTAAAACCTAAGAATTTGATTTTTGGTCATCTGAACGCGGGCGAAGCCGCGGGCAATGCTAGTTACCTATACGATTGTAAGTTTCAACGTACGAGTAGTTCAATATTAATACAACTGCAAGAATACGTTTTATTGTATAAGAAATGTCGTCTTTCCGTTGTTTCGTTATAGTTCAGAATGGCTTAACTCATTTTAATGAGACATTTGTTTATTGAAGTCTAGAGAATTTCAATGACGTTGACATAGGTACGCTTTACATCCCGGGGGAGAAGCCAACTCCTACCGGGCGCGTCCCCAGGTGGCGGATAGGGGAATGCCACCCGCTTAGGGCGGCGGGTGGTACCGGAAAAATCCGGCGCGGACCAAATGGCTTGGGTGGGGCCGCTCGTCTAGGACTCGAGCCGAAGACGTTGCGGCCACCGGTGGTGGGACCGCTTGGTCTCACAACCGGATGATGGGTGCCGGTTGCGGGACTGTGGTCGCAGGCCCGCATCCGGCGGAGGAGTAGGCCGCGGCGGAAGAGGAGTGCCGGTATTTCGGTGCGCCGTTCTCCCTACCTACCGCGGCCTAGACGGAGCCGCCACCGTTTGATGGCGGACGCGGTGGGGCTGCAGGGGAAGATGAGTGTCGGTGTTTCGTTGCCGCTCTCCCTGTCCTCTGCAGCCGATTGGAGGTGGCCCACTTCGGTGGACGGTGGTTAGGTTTAATGGGGCTGCTCCGGGTACCTCTCTGGCGTAGCAGAGTTGACTGTGGAGCAGCCCCATTGGTTTGGTGGTCTGCCTAGCGCTTAGGCAGACCTGCCGCCGGGGCGCCGTAGTAGTTATGCGCAAGCGATCCTGCGGCGTCCCATTAAGGCGGAGGGGAGGGGATAAAAAAAAAAAAAAAAGGTACGCTTTACATGTCACAAATCTTAAAAGTCAACTTTTACCTACTTCTTCTTGGAAACTTTTAAAGGTTACTCGTCAAATTTTCGTCTTTGGAATCCTTTAATTCATATTATGTATATCCGTATTTGCAAATTTAGCAATGCTTCTAAGATGGCACGAGCATCCATATACAGTTGATTTAGTTTGCAACAAACTTCGTCAGATGTTATAATAATAATTATTACTTTCGGCA